CCAAAGACTAATTCTCCACGCATTGCAGCACAGCACTGACCAACACAGCACAGCACTGACCAACACACCCGTCCTCGGTCATGGCGTAGCCCCAGTTGCAGTGACAGACAGCGAGAGACTCCTCCTTCTCACAGTAGGCGTTCTCCCCACAGTCCTTGCTCCCGTGTCAAAAATCAGAGTGCCCTGCCGGACGAGAGCAGGACGCGTTGGGCATGAGTTTGAGGCCCCTTTCGCACACGCAGTTCGCCCAGCCCTCTCGCTCTTGAGGCAGTTGGCATTGGGGCCGCAGTTGCGTACCACGCACGAGTCTGCACTCAGGCACGTGGGGGCAGACAAGCACGTAGGGGCAGAACAAGGCACGTCATCATTTGCCATCACAACTGATACACCAAATCCAGAAGATGTAACACAGAATGCAGACGGCACAAGACTACAGTGGAGAAATTCTAGAAGATGTAACACAGAACGTTGCATTCATTCTATCCAACAGCACCCACCAAAGCAGTTGCCGTCTGCATCCCTCTTTTCGCCCGCAGGGCAGGGGCGGTTGGCAGCAGCAGGTGGCAGGTCAACAAAATCAGGTGGCCCGTTGGGTGAATTGTCTGCGAGAAACAATGGGGGGCGGGGAATAATTGGGAGTGTTGAAACGATGAGCTGCAGGTAAAAAGATGACAGAAAGTTAGACGGTGTTGAAAGGCACTGTCAGGGCAAAGGTCAGAAGCATAGCAGCAAACTGTAGCCTTACCATGGCAAGACTTGCCATCATCCCGCAGCGTGAAGCCAGGGTCACAAACACATGACGCCGCCCCATTCTCGTCCTGGGCGCACTGGCCGTTCTCACCACACTCCTGGAGCACACAGGTGTCTGGCAGGAGGAGAGCTAAGGGAACAATACAAGCAGCAGTAACCGCAGTGAATGCAAAGCAAATCATCCATTAACTACAGCAGAACAATTTTAGCAGCAGATGGCATCAGAACAGAAGCGGCACAAAGAAAAGCACCTCAGCAGCAGCACCACAGCACATCAGCAGCAGCACACGCAAATGGCTACCTGTGCATGTCTTGCCATCCGGCGCGAGCCCAAAGAACGGGTCACAAACACAGGATGCCGCCCCCTCCGCGTCCTTCACGCACTGGCCGTTTTCACCACACGCCTGGAGCACACACGTATCTGGAAAGGGAAGACTCAAAGGGGACAGCAAGCATTAGAATAGAGCAGCGCCATCAGGATCAAATCAAACATTAGAATCCAGCATCCTGAATCAAATCAGTACAGCAGGGATAAGCAGCACTCACCAACACAGCCGTCCGCGGTCTTTTCAAAGCCAGGGTTGCAATGACAGGAAGATATTCCTTGGTCCTCTTCACAGCAGTACCCGTTCTCCCCACAGTCCTCAGCAGTACACAGATCTGCCAGGTTCACAGCACGAGAGGGTGGACAGCACGAGAGGGTGGACAGCACGAGAGGGTGGACAGAGAGGGTGGACAGCAGAATAAGCACAGGAGACAGGAAAGGAAATTTTGGAGATCAAGCTGAGAGGCCTTTAGATGCAACTGTTGAGGAGGATTCAAGCACTGCCGCCGACTATTCCAAGTGAGAAAGGAAAGGGCGGCACACTAGTAGTTTATGTACAGCACGAGAGGCTGGACAGCAGAATAAGAACAAGTGGAAACGATCTATTGGAGTGGTCACAGCATGCTGAGAGCCGTTTAGACTGCTCGGCCAGCGAGAAGATGAACTCACGGGCGCAGGACGCATCGGGCAGCAGCTTGAAGCCCCTGTCGCACACGCAGTCCGCCCAGCCCGCCTGGCTCTTCAGGCACCTCGCGTTGGTGCCGCAGTTGCGCACCGTGCACGAGTCTGCATTCAGGGGTCAGACACAGGCACGTGGGGCTCAAACACAGGTGGATCTGAAGCAGCACACATGCATGGCAGGTAGGTGCTGGAGCAAAATCAGCCATAGACCGAATGACGGACGATGATATGTTGAATCTTTAACGTGAAGTGCAGACCGAATGAGGTTGTGGTGGACCATTTCTGTTGCATTCACAGCACGCACCAACGCAGTTGTCTTGTGCGTCCTTCACGTAACCCACTGAGCACTTGATGCTGGTATCAGATGGCAGGCGAATGGCAACAGCAAGCCTGGGCGCACAGGCTGCGAGACAGTGCGGGGATGGAGGAGGTGTCAGGACTCCACCATGAGCAATAAATCTGCAAACAAACATCATGAGCACACAAACCCTAAAACGTAAAAAGATGCGCACGCAAATAACTGTTCAACAAGGTGAGAGAATGAGTACATGAGAGCACGAGAGCAGCCAGTGCGGCAGCAAGTATAAGGCCAGAGAGTCGCAGGTCGTTTCCAGCCATAGCTGATCGAGTCGCGGCAGTTCGTTTGAACGATGAAAGTGTAACGATGACAATGACGGTGGTGATGAGCCTTGAAGCGAGCAATCTGTTGGTGCAACCCTACGGTTTGCACTCGGCTTGTTGTCCGTGTGCGTGAATGTGTGTGTGTATGGAATGGTATGAGGGCATGGGATAATATATATTTCATGCTTATAATTGTGTGTGAATGTTGAGTCATGATGTCGAGTGTGTGTGTCGAGTCAATAGCGAGTTATCGCTAGACGCGTGTTACGCGGTCGTTTGTGTCTCGCGCGCGGTTTCTATTTTGTCGTGCGCGGTTTCTATTTTGTCCTGTGTCGAACGTTCGGCGTGTCGCAGGTGTGTGCAGCAGACCCATCAAGAACTCAAGGATGAGTTTGTGATGAAGAGCCCGAGCCTTGGTGTCAAGCCTCAAGTGATTTCGAAGCTTGCCAAAAGGGTACACCTCAAGATATTGAAGATAGTTACATTACTTTGTGTAGTGTAACATTTCACTTGGTGTAGGCCCTAGTGAAGGGTAGTTTCGAGACCCTTCGTGGTTGGGGACAGTGTGGCACTGTTCCACATCACTGTACCTCGGCTCTTGGGGTTTGTAGGAGCTGGGAGTCATTCCCAACTCGTAACTCTTCCTATCTTGTGTTCTAAGACTATAGTGGCTGCCATAGTACCGCTCGTTCAAACCGACGCTGTGTCGTCAATTCTTTATCAAATCGTGCAATCTAAATTGCTAATTGTAGACGACGTGAAGACGCTCCAGATCCAATTTGAATCAAGTCATTTGCAGCTGTGAGCAGAACGCTATCAACGTTTGAAGCCACTGTGCAGAAATCCATCTGTGCTCTCTATCTTTCGTTTTAGGCACATTCAAGCCTATTGTGACTATAACACAATCGTGAACGCAGTCACAAGAGATAGTGCCTTCAAGGCAGGAATGATGGAATGGTTTGCTGACTGATGGCCGCCCGCTGAAATAGTGACTTCCTGCCCAGCCCCCCCTGCCGGATGAAGCGGAAGAAACTCCGCCCTTCCGCCGCCCGCCATACTCGGGTGCCAACTTGGCATTCCACCTTGAAGGTGACATTTTGTGATCACGTCACGCTAGGGATTATGTGGCGAGCCTTTGCCGTCTTGGATTAGAAAAATATAAAAAACGACAACACGGTGACCTGGCAGATCTGACGTGGTTTTAATCTACAAATCTGACTCAGATCCAGCATTGCTAAGAAGACGAGCCGGAATTGGTGGGCTTCTGGTGGAAGTTAACTATCCGAACAGTAGTGACACGCAAGTAAGTGGTGTCGTGCGCACGAAAAGTCCTAAACTGGAGTCCAGCAATGAAAGTGGGAATAAAATATCACCGCTGACTTTCAGCGCTAGAATGCATTGCTACGCTGCCTGCTTTCCCAAAGCTGAGCTGCCTTCCCGAGCTGCATTCAAGCTGTGTGCAACCGGAAGCTGCATTCCGCACATTCCAACAAGGCTCGAAGGTGGGATTTTCACCAGCTCGGGCGTAACGGATTCTCTTGAAAAACTGTTCTGAAAAGAGCAAGGTCCCGCCGTAAAACAGCTCGAGAAAATCAGGGCTAGCAAAACAATATGAATGTTCATTTCGAGAGTCTCGCAACAATGGAAATTCTGATTGCTATAACTTTGTGTGTTGGGGCAATGCGTCCCGCTTCGCATGCCTCTACTCTTGCAATTTATCCGATTTCTCCCTTCTCGCCAGAAAGCAGACGGAAAGAATGGACTTACGATCGTCCATGAGGCGTAAGTATGACTTTGTGGATGGAGTGGAGGGGCACTTTGGGGAAGGAGGTGGGTGTATAAATTCTTCGTAGAGAAAAGCTCTGAGTCCTTCCGAGATTCTCAGTTCCTCAGAGCCATTCCCCCGAATTCAGGTAGGGATCGAACACTATTACCCCTGCGAAAACCCGGGCTGTGATGAAAAACATTTGCTAGTCAAGGACGGGCATCCTGTATGCCCTGAAGACGACACCCCAACCGTCCCTAACAATTGTTGTATTGACCCAGCAGCAGAACGCGCAAAGGAAAGGGACAGGGACTTTACGGTACAGTGGACACCGTCAGAGCAGGTTCGTCACGTTCTAGGGTGCCAAACCAACACGACGCCGTCACAGGCCCAGCTGCTGTCCTTGTTAAAATGTGTATTCTCCCCCCCTGAAAGTGCTTATCGCAAGGTAAAAGACAAGATAGTTATTAACTCTGAAATTTGCCATTTATCAACTGACATTTACGGCTCACTTTGACACATGAATGATTTACGTCGGGCACGACTGCCACTTGTAGCGTGACTGCACCCGACCGGGGCATGCTATAGCTAAACAACCAAATTAATAGAAAGGCGAACATCAGCCACTTGTTCACACAGCCCCACTCAGCAACAGTAAATGCATCATACAAGCATACGATAAGTCACGGCAATGTGTTCAAATCAAAACTCTTGTTGCTCTTCACCTCTTTGATTTTTACTCCCCTTGACTGTAACTTCAAAATTCTTTGCCTGCAATGACTCACATCACAAGCAGACTCCCAGCCAAGCAACCTCGGCCCACCAGCTCTTGATGATCGGGCTCCCTTACTCCTCCTCTCACCCATAGTTCTTCGATCTGTAAGCCGCCACGAGCCTATCAAGATCATCCACCAACTCTTGGTGCTCCGACCCCTTCTTGCTCCTCACCTTATTCCTCTCCTCTCCACCACCTCCACTTCCCAGCCCAGCCAGTGCGGCCTGCGCCCGCCTAGCCTCCACCACCGCAGCCGCTGCTTCTCCTCTCCTTTCGTCTGTCTTTGCCTTTTTAGAGCTGGGACTCGCTACAGCAGCAAGAGAGGCAGCAACAGATTTCATTGCCACCGCTGCTGGTCCCCTCCTTTGGTCAGACTTTGCCTTTTTTGCACTAGGACTCAATGCAGAAGCATGAGAGGCACCAGGAGGAGCCTTCATAGCAGCAGCAGGCGAAGCACCAGCAGATTTCCCTGCAGCAGCAGGAGACACACCAGCGCCCCCTGCTGCACCCTTGTGCTTCCTCTTCAGCTCGCCCTTCCCACTGCCGCTCATCCCTCCCTGCTCTGCTGCAGCACCTGCCTTTCCAACTTTTTCCACCTGTGGCCCCTTAGGCCCCTTCACGTCCTTCCCCTGCCCCTTCCCCTGCTGACACTGCCCCTTCCCTCCCTTCAACTGCTTCTGCTTCTTCTTTGCTGAAGAGCCCTCAGCAGCACCAGCAGGAGATGCCTCGCCCTCCTCAGGCTTTCTCTTTGCCCCCTTTGCCTTGCCCAAACTAGCGCCCCCAGCTTCTTGCTTCTGCAGCTGCTGCTACTGCTTCTTCTCTTGCTTCTGCTGCTGCCTCTGCTGCTGCCGCACTGCCTGCCGCCTGTCGCTCCGCTGCTATACCGTGTGTTGCCGCTGCTTCACTATCGAGAAATTTTCAATTGAAAACTCAACTATGGGGCGAGCGTCGCGAGAGAATACGGTTGAAAGAATGTAAGGGTGGGGCATGGATGAAGGAGGGGAACGAAAGTGAGGGAGGGAAACGGATGAAGGGGTGGGGGAATGGACGTGTGCTGCCTCTGCTTTGTCAACGGAAGTTGTGTGTTGGCCCCGTCCTCGCTTGGACGGAGCCGACATCGTGGTCGAGTGTGAGGGGAGCAGCCGACTTGCAGCAGTGGGCGAGCTGGTTGACGAGGAGGTCGACCTGCACGGGGACCACTGCACGGGCGCCGACTTCAAGGTGGCGCCGACTTCAGGGAGGTCGACCTGGGAAGTTGACCTGCGGAGGGCGTCAACTTGGTGACGCCAACTTGGGGCAGCCGACTTGGGTGGTCGGCTGACAGGTCTGCTGGTCGACTTGGTGGTTGGTCGACCAGGCGTGATGTCGACCTGGTGGGCGACCTGACTTGGTGGTCGACGGAGGAGGGGCCGACGTCGACCACGACCCAGGACGCCGAGTGGCTGGGCGTCGAGTAGCAGGGCGTCAACTTGGTGTCGCCGACTTCGGGTAGCCGACTTGGGTGGTCGGCGACAACTGCGCTGGTCGACATGGAGCTGGTCGACCAGGAGTGCTGGTCGACGTGGAGATGGTCGACCAGGAGTGACGTCGACCTGGAGCTGGTCGACCAGAAGTGTGGTCGACCTGGTGAGGTCGACTTGGGGTGGTCGTCCACTTGGGAGGTTGACGGGCACATACAGGAGCAGCTGGTCGACGTGGTTGCCCGGTCGACCAGGTTACCTGGGTGACGAGGTTCTGCGGAGAACTGCGACGGTCGCCCAGGCGAAGTTGGCGAGTCTGACCTTGGTGGTGGTATCCCGAGTCGACGTGGCTGATCAGTGCAGTCGTCAGCGCCAGGTTGACTTGGTGTGTGCGCTGTGCAGGTGACAAGGCTCAGTACGCTGCGAGCACCTGCGAAGCTGGTGCGATGCTGTACCGCGGGAGCTACGCTGGCACGCCGTCGACCTGCAGCGTTGGCACGCCGTAGACTTTGCGCTGCTGGAGCGCGGTCGACCAAGTCGTGCTGGAACGCGGTCGACCATGTGCTGGCAGTTGACCAACCTGAATGCTAGCTCTGCTGTAGTCTTGCCATGCCAACTTCTTTCTACCATTGTTGTCAACTTTCTCTAGTGAAACTCTTGCCAAATTGCCCCGTGATCTAGCAAGCAGTGTGTGCACTAAGAAAACGACTAAGGAACAAAGAACGCAGAGATCACACGAGCACCCGTGCCTAGTCCGTAGTCTAGCTCCCGTTGTAGTAGTTATCTCTGCATGGTGCGGTGAGCGTGGACGGCACTCGACTTACCTTTAGTCAGATCGACGTAGACATCACTTACCTAATTCGTGGTTGTAGGTCAACAGCTGTGCGGTAGTCACTATGGTAGGAGCCGTAGGTGACGCAGGGGTGGTGGACACCCTGGAGGCACGGCTGGAGAACGCGAGGAGAAGGCACGAGGCCAACGAGTATGGCGACCTGCCCTGGGCGGTCGTCGAGGCTGGACTCCGCACCATGTGGGCGACGGAGCACCTTCCTAGACCTGCCTCTCCTCGACCGGTGAACGACGAAGGCGGCATCGACGTGGGCGTCAATGCCAGTGGTGGTCAAGTCGGCAGCAGTGCGGGAGGCACGTTGAGGCAGCGAGGTGTGATTCACGCCGATGAAGTCGGCGGCGTTCAGGCGCGAGGAGTGCAGTCATCGGCGGTTGCAGGCTCCTCGCAGGGCGACGTCGGAGGTCGACGAAGCGGATTGTCGCCGATGTCGGTGACCCAGGTGACGGCGGGTGGGATTGCACCGAGCTACGGCTACTTCAAGTTTACGCCGGACAGGATCTTGGTCACCCCGCCGCTCGTTGGTCGAAGGACATCCTCACCTGGAAGGAAGCCATCGAGCCCCAGCTGGAGATGGCTGGGCTGATCAGCTTTGCTCGAGGCACCGTGGCGTCGCCGGATGACCCTGACTTATGTGCGGAGTTTCGCGCCGTGCAGCTGTTGACCTTCACGGTCATCTCGCGGAGCTGCTTGCCTGGCGTGCAGATCGCCTTGAAGTGGTGCCGAGAGTACCTCGACGCCGGCCACCGGGCGTGGCACTTCATCGAGTCGACCTACCAAGTCACTCACAACATGTTCATCGCCCAGCTGGAGGGGCAGCTGATGCACCTGCGTATGGGCGACGAGGAGACGGCGACCAATTACTGCAACCGAGCCCGGCGAATTCTCGCCACCATCAGGATGGCCGGCGCGCAGTACTCGACGGCGTCGTACGTCACCCATGTCATGCAGGGGCTCTCGAGCAGCTACAACCTCCTGAAGCGGCTGTCCATGGCGCCGAGCACGAGGGCGATGCTCAACGAGGACAACTTGACCTCGTACATCCTGCAGGACGAAGCGATGCAGGAGGCTGAGTGGTCCCAGGAGCCCCTGGCACAGGCGAACTACATCGCCCCGGCGAAGCAAGGTGGCCGACCAGGGCAGCGCGGATAGTCTGGCGGCGGTGGTAGCAGTGGCTGGAAGCCGGCCAAGGAAGTTGACAAGAAGAAGTCGACCAAGGACAGCGGTCGAGGAGGAGGAGGTCGACGTCGGGAGTGCTGGCTGTGCGGCGACCCCAACCACCTCTCTTTCGAGTGCCCCGATCGCAGTGACTCCGACGACGACGACGCCAAGGGAGGCCGTGGGAGGTCTGGCAGTCGTCGTCCTCGTCGTGGAGGAAACAAGCCGCGCAAGGAGAAGCAGTCGACCACGTCGACCTCGGCGAAGGACGCCGACTCCTCTGCTGGCTGCAAGGCGCGGGACGACAAGACGGCGTCGTGCTCGCTGGTCGGCGTCGTGGAGCCGACCATCTCGCTGGCGCTGGAGGCTGGAGAGGACTTCCAGGCGGTGGCGGCAGCTGTGCAGGCGAACCCGGCGGTGGTCCTGCTCGACAGCGGCTGCTCCCACCACCTGATGGGGACGAAGGAAGTCTTCGTCGACCTGCAGCCGAGCGGCTCCATCAAGCACGTTCGCGGATTCAATGGGGCGCTGCAGGACGTCCAGGGCCGCGGCATCGTCGCCCTACAAGGGGAGGCCGGGAAGCAGGTGCTCATCCCCGACGTGCTGTACGTCCCAGGTGTGCGGGCAAACCTGCTGTCGTCCGGCCAGCTGAAGGAGCACGGCGTGAAGCTGCAGGAGGACGGCGACGAGATGCTGCTCGTCTCGGCAACGGGAGAGGTGCTCGGTCGGGCGACGTACTCCGGGCGTGTCCTCTGCACCGACCTGCGTCCCTGCTCAACGAGGTCGACGTCGCCCACGCCGGAGGTTGTGGCCCTGCGGGCGATCGTATCGGCGACGAAGTCGACGCCGGATAGAATGCATGCGAGACTTGCGCACGTCGGCATGGATACCATACGGAGCTCGGTGAAGCACGAGGTCGCCACTGGGCTGGACCTGAAGTCGGCGACGGGCGCCGACTCACCGTGTGTCTCGTGCGTCGGCGGGAAGCTGACGCGACACACCTTTCCCGACCAAGGCTCCGACGCCGACGACGTGCTGGCCGTCGTGCACATCGACTTGTGCGGGCCGTTTCGCGTGGTTGCCAAGGATGGCAGCTTGTACTTCTTGCTGCTGAAGGACCGCAAGACCCGCTTCGTGTGGGTGAGGCCGGTCGCCAAGAAGTCGGACGTGCTGCTGGAGTTCCAGAAGTGGCTGGTGTTGGTGGAGAGGCATTTGAAGAAGTCGGTGCTGATGCTACGCTCAGACCGAGGAGGGGAGTTCCTCGGGAAGAAGTTCACCGACTTCGTGGACAGCAAGGGGATCGTCCACGACCTCACCTGCCCGTACACCCCGCAGCAGAACGGCATGGCGGAGCGGGAGATGAGGACGGTGGTGGAGTCGGTGCGGACGATGCTGCTGCACATGGGCGTGGAGCACCACTGGTGGCACCTCGCTCTGCGACAAGCCGTCTGGGTCTGCTACTGCCTTGAGCGGTCGACGCTGCCGCCGGGGACGATGCCGTACCAGCTGCTCACCGGGACGAAGCCCGACCTGTCGCTCGCCCGGGTGTGGGGCTGCATGGCGCAATTCTTGGTCCCCGAGCAGCAGCGTGGCGGGAAGCTACAGCCGAAGGCCTGGTGGGGCCTTCACCTCAGCGTGTCGGAGGAGAGCAAGGGCTGGGAGCTCCTCGACATCGCCGACAACCGGGTGGTCACCACGTCGGACTGGTGTTCAACGAGGATCTGTCGATGGAAGTGTGGAAGTCGGAGCACAGGCCGGTGTCAGGACGGACGCCGACCACGCCGCCGACCAACACCTCGATGGCGACGCTGCCTCTGCTTGCCGAGGTCGGTGAGCTGGCTACTGAGGACGTCGAGAACGTCCGTTCTCCCTCCCCCCCCTCTCCGACCCCTACCCCTCCCCTCCTGGCCGACCTGCGCGGGCTGACCTCGGTGTCGGCCTCCGGCGATGAGGGGAGTAGTGGGACGTCGCCTTCGGCGCCCGCCAAGAGCATCGCCGGTGGCCGACGTAAGGAGCAGCAAGTCGACGTGGGAGTGCAGTCGACGTCGCTAGGGGAGGAGCAGGTCGAGGAGAAGCAGGCGACAGAGGAGCAGGCAGCAGTGAGGCCGACCACGGAGCAGTCGGCAACCGATCAGTCGGCAGGGGAGCCGACCGCAGGGGAGAAGTCGGCCAGAAAGTCGACTTAGGTGCAGCAGGAAGGTGACGAAGGAGGGGACGCCGAGGAGTCAACCAAGAGCGACGTGGTGGAGGTTCGGCCTGAACCTCGGAAGTCAGGCCGACTTCGGAGGCCGCCCGACTTCTTCGTCCCCGCTGCCTTCACCACGGTATACGACGTGGACGACGACGACCTGGCGTACGACGACGCCGAGGAGGATGAAGAGTTTTCGGAGCTCGACCCCGACATGCATGCCGACCCCGAGCACCGTTGGGACATCTCGACGATGACGGTGAAGAAGGCGTTGGCAAGCTGGAAGGGCCCGGCGGTGAAGGCCGCCATGGAGGAGGAGATCCGCAGCCTCATCAA